TCTTTCAGTGTTGAAGACACCTGACCCTTGTCTCTCAACAAAAAACAGCAGGTTCAGACACATCTTAAAGTGTATTATCCATTAGCATCTGTGCATCAACACACCCCAGATGTCCAGGGATGGAGGGATAGGAGCAAATTAAGTCCCACAACTTCACACAGACAGTGATATTGAGAGTATGAAATGCAGCGACAGACTAGCATAGGCAGGGTTCAGACTCTCAGATCATACACACTAACAGCAGAGATGGTCTTGGATTCTAGCCAGACGTCCTGCCACGCCAACTGTCAGTCATATTACACCGCTAACAAAGAATGCAATAAGTACCAGCTAATTAAATCAAACTGGATACACTCTTAGAAACCAATACCTCCTTACAGCTTAGATTTCTGTTTTTGTGTCACAGACAGCCAACGCTGTGGAAAAGATTGCTATTATACCTGCTGCTGCGCACTTCACTCATTTACTGAAAACACACACACACACCCACACACACACACATACAAACAAACCCAGATGGTGAAACCTGTTCGGTCAGTGACCCTGAGGCAGCATGTTGTACTGTAATCAAAGTACATTAACACATGCACCACAACTTTCCTCCAAAGTTCAGGATGAGGGGCTGTAAAGTGTTTCCCTGATAGTATTCTGTATCATCATATCCCTCTGCCTTCGTTTGATGTGCTGATCTTCAATCAGCCTGCAGTTGGAGGGCTGAGAAACATCAGAAAGCTTTACACTGCAGCCAACTCGGGTTTCAGGATGCTGTAACTTTTTGAACTTTAAGCTGTTTCCTTGGGACTGTCTACCGAGGGAAAATAACTTTATTCCTTCTGACAGGTGACCGGAATGATGTGGCATCGAGCTGATCTTGGAAATGGGTAAACTCTGAACATTAATGGGAGAGATTGCACTTTGGTGTAGTCCTAGACTAATAAACGGATTGAATTGCATCCATTCAGACGTCTGGAAAAGGGCAAGCTTATAGGCCTTTTGTCTGTATACTGCAGTCTCAAAAATCTGTAGAAAGTACTCAACACATTATGTGAATAAAATACACAATTGATTTTAAACTTATGAAAAGATAGTTGACAAAAAATCAGTTAATGAATTGCTAAAAAAGAAAGTATAGGCCATCGTATGAATGACTATGACTTTAAAATAACAATCAGTCTTTGGTTCAATTAAACTTTATGTAGAAATACGCATCATGAGAGATTAACTTGTTGTGACATTTAAAGTCTTGAAGCATAATTTGAAATCATGTTCTTTCTGTAAAGCCAAAAAGATCATAAACTGAAGGAAACATCTTAGTTGATATTGTTCATATTGTAGATTCCTCTGGAAATCTGCATTTAATCAAGTCATCAACATCCAAATGATGTATACTCACTGGCAGTGGAAGGGGTCTAAGGTCTGGGTGCCATGGAAACTGCCCATTGGACCTCAGTGGGGAGGAACATCATGCACACACACGCTCTGTTTCTGTTGGACCGCCCGACAGGAATTTACTTATTTGTGGAAATGTTAAGAATTCAAGCAATGAAGCTTAGAAATTTGAACGTTACCCAAAAAACACACACTTCCCCAGGAGTAGTGCGATCACTCTGGCAGCTCGGTATGATGACAGTCGGATCCTAAACTGAAACATAATTTGAATGAGCTATTTTATTAGTTAAAATGGGATGAAAGATGTCCAGGGGAAAAAAATCAAACATTATAACAGATTTTGGCACTTCAAAATAAAAGCCTCTAAGTATATAATATAATGTGCAACGGTCCTCGTCCTCCTTCAATCTCTCTCCCACATGGCTGCTCTCACTTTCTCTCAGTAGACAATGGCCTCTCTGTCTCCACTGTTTAACCACTCTCTCACCTATCTTAAACACTCACACACACTTCTGCAGGCACACCTTTGTGCACACATAAAGGCTTACATTGACACAAATCAGCATTTTTGTAATGTTTAGATCCATGGAAACAAATGCAGACACACATCTATGCACACACAGATAAATGCAGGCACTCACAGCCAAAGAAGTGAAAAAGCTGGGATATCGCCGGTGTGGTACCGTCCTGAGGATGCCGGGGCAGAGCTGAAGTGTGACACATGTCTTTGATGTGAATCCAGAGCATGGGCATGTAACAAACGCAGATACCAAATTACACCCTAGCCTGCTTTGATCTCTAAAACCCCCATACTTCTACAGCAGTAATAAGATTGTATGTGTGTGTGTGTGTGTGTATGTGTGTGTGTGTGTGTGTGTGCGTGCGTGTGTGTGTGCGTGTACATGTGCTTGTGCGTGTGTGCATAAAACAAACTTCTTTAAAGTGTCTGAAGCTTGTCTTCACTCATAAAAATAACACAAATCTACACTTCTTCTAAATGCATGCATATCTGTATATCTGCATGCAAAAGTGCAAATGTGCAGTGATTTTTGCAGTCTGTTTGTGTATGCGTGTTTGGTTGCTGAGTGGCTGCAGTGTGTGTATCAGAGGACAGAAGTTGAAGCGTTGGGCCATGGGGGAACTAGACCCTGGCAGAGGCTTGTAGGCGCCTGGTAAAAACATGTTCTTGGAGACCTTGTCTTGTCGTCACGTCATCCACAGTGGACTCCCCACTCTGCCTTCACAGCCGACGATGATCGAGTTGCGTCTTGGATTTCCGTCTGAACTAGCCTCTAATCTCATGATAGTCAAGCGTGAACGGAACCACTTCTCAGCCCTGTAAGGTTGGCCTCTCACAGGAATTAGCACAACACATGTTTATGTGTCCCTCATTACCTAAAAGTGTTTGAGGTTTTGGAGTGAGACACCAAGTGAAGGATGATACACTCTGAATCAAATATTGAGGTTACATAATGCAGTAGCAATAAATGTAGTGCGGTTACAGCACAGTTTTTAAGAGAGAAGCTCCTTCCTACTCACGCTGTTTGTATATTTTTTGATGGATGATACATCTGCGGAGAGATGAGCAACAAGAGGATAATCAAAGTAACTGCATCACTGCTATGCTTTAACTTTGATTGTCATCACCATGATGACTTATTTGTTAAAAATTATCACCACAACAGTGAAGCACAAGGCATTGCTTTAAAGTTTAATAGAAAAGAGCAAAAACACATGAAAAGATCTGAATGAGGCAACAAAGTATCACAAAGTATGGACGCCTAGAGAGGACATGCATCCATTCATTATATTTACACTATTTTGGTAACAAGTAATTAAAGCCTCCTGGGGACAGCCGGTATGCTAAAACACTAATTGGTGCTTGTTTTCTTGAGGATCTCGACTTATTTATCTTGAGTTGCAAAAGCTTACCATATTAATGTGGCCAATGGCAGTATGGTATGATGTGGCCTGCCCTATCACAGTGAGCAGCCACTCTTTTTGTTATCTGGACTCTCAGAAAAATATCCTTTTATCAGGAGACAATAATCTCATCTATCTTTAAAAAGATAAAAAAGATAAAAATCTGTTACAGTGAGTAAACCAGTGAGTTAATGAAATAACTAAGTTGAGATCTTGAGAAAACAACCAAAAAGTGCTTCTTATCACGTGAAAACAGAGTAAACAGAATGTTTGGATACATGTCTGCTTGGAGCTAAGTAGCAAACCATATAAAAACATCCTTACAGTGCAAAACTGTCACATTATACATAATGTTAAGTCATCATAACAAAACAACCCTGAATGTTAAAATGATCTTTGGCACTGACAATGCAGCTTTGTATGTACAGTAAGATTTGAGTAAAATATGACACATATGGATAACTTAAGAATAGCAGGCTGGAGGAAAATGAAGGTTAAAAATGACAAATACACATAAGACACATTTGGCATTACAGATTTTAGATTTGTGTTTGCAAAGTTCCTGGTTTGAGTCTGACAAGAGGTCATGTTACCAACCTTATATCTCCTACTCATGACCTCTCTACCTCACCCCATCAAAAGAAAACTTAAAAAAAAAGAACATAATGAAAGTGAAAATAAATTAAATCTCCTTGGTTTCTTTAGGTAGAGTTCAAATATCTCTAATCACTGTCATCAACTACTGTATAAGAATAATAAATTATACAGAATTCATTCACAACAGTATGGATATTGCGCAATAACAAACATTGATGTTGTTTTTTTGTTGCCATGTTTTAAGTTGACAACTTGTCTTTCTGAGACTGGCTTGTAAACACAGGGTGATGGGGGGGGGGGGTGTTAAAAGGGGGTTAGTTTTGCATTGCTTAAGCTGAAAATTCAATGGGTGACTTTTTTTAATTTAGTGGAAAAACAATGTGTGTACGACAAACAGTCTCCCTGCATCCCCTTGTTAAACCTGAACGAGTCATCCAGTGCTTATAAATACCAGAGGAGCTGCACAGCCAAGTTGACAGGGAGGATGAAGAGCGCTGCAGGAGGCTCAATGCACTTCATGGGTGTCTGGCGGCACTTAGTGGTGAAAGTCTGCCACTGATAGACATTCAGTGTGCAGCACAGAGGTCATAGAAGCAGAAGGCATTCATGGCATTACTGTAAAGAGTTCAACCTATCTAACCAATGTGGCACGTTGGTGCAAATATTGAAGATAATCCTGCTGCTGTTTAAAGACATGCAGCCATTGGGGAGCTTACTTACAAACACATGTAAACACTTAGGCCTGCCAAAATGGCTGAGTGATGTAATGGAAACTATGAATGTGCTATCTCACCAGGAGTAGAGGGAAAAGTATATAGCAGCAGTTGCAGAACATTATCAATGTTTTACCAGCCATTACCATTTTGAGACTGAAAACATAAAAGTGAAGATGTATTTTAACATTGAGGCAGATGTCTCATTTAGTTTTGCTGTAGCACCAAAAACAATATGATAATTTTTTAAGAGATAGACACGTATAATTCCTGTTTGGTCACACAAAACATTCAGATGACTGAAAAGGTAGTAGCAGTTTAAAAGACTTACTTGAGGCACTTGTTTTAGTATTTGGAAGTAATTAGGAATGTGACTGCTCACAAAATGATGCACATCCTTGATTTCCAGTCGCTCCCATAACCATGACCATTTAGTTCCTGGTTGTTCAGTTCATCAAACACTCCAGTGTCAATCATCTCCTTCTGCCACTGGATGGCGACGGCGCCCGTGTTGAACTCCTTGAAGAATTTCATGTCCTTGGAATCAAACAAAATGTCCTCGATGTCAGAGGTTTCCCTGAGCTTGTGTGCATCCTTGGCATAGACGATGTTGGGTTTTGGCATCCATGGGGCTTCCAGTAGCCCGGCCTCCAGACGGTGGAGATTGATGCTCTTGAAAAATGAGTGGTTTCGTGGGTCATCACCACTTCTAGATGGAAACAAACAGATACACAATGATTAAACAAAGATTTAGAATGATGGTTTCTTTCAAGGGAGAAAACATTGTTTTCAACTTCCCAACACTGGAGGTCATTAAACTCATAAAAACTAACAGGGAAATACTATTTTCCTAAAACATATGCAAGAATGAAAAGAATCACCTTAAACTGCAGGTCCAGCAATCAGTTTTACAAGTGCTCACTGACTACATCATCAACTTCACAAAATCTATTAAAAAACAGATGACTAAAAAAGAAGATCCAATATATTCAATATCCAATTATTACCTCAACTTCAACATGAGTAAAATTCTGATCATGGAATATCACACATGAGGAACTGAATTTCCCTTGAATTTGAATTTCCCTCGGGATCAATAAAGTATCTATCTATCTATCTATCTACCTACATGAGACTGTATGCTATTGTCAGCATGGCTGTGTTTATGTCATGAGCACAAGGCTACAGGCCAAGTGCTGAAGGTGCAGAACAGCTGATATTCAGCTGCATATTCTTGAGTGTTCTTTTACAGAACATTTTTTTATTTAACATCTGAAAAAAAGAGTATTTCTTTATTCAATTTACTTTTGAATAACACACCGAATTAATTAAGACACACCTGTTTAAGCGCAAAGGGCAGTGAAAATGTGCAAGAAAAAATGATTTAGTGTTACAGTGAGCGTTAGAAGGTCTTGAAGAGGTCAGCAAACAAGTTTCCTTAGAGGAACACTTAACAGCGGTAGATTGTCCCTCAGATGAAGAGCCCTGTTAGAAAGGGTATGGTACGATGCAACATCTTGTATCTTATTGTTTTGATCGTATTGCATTGTATCACATTGTGCACCGTATCATGTCCCATCAAAACGTATTGCATCACACAGTATCGCTCTGTACCAGTCTGTAATGTACCGTATCGTATTGTACTGAAACACTGCGGTTGGTTTGGTTTCATTCAATACTGTATTGTAATCTTGGGCCTGTACCATACTTAATTTGTGTATTACAGAACAGGCGCCAAGGAGGATTCAATTGTTCTGAAGGACTAGTTTCAAGACATATAAACCAACTTGTCCCTTCTTACAAAAGCATACTTGAGGAAAATACTGTTTTACTTACCGGCACCCCAGACGATGTGCCACCTTCTTCTTAAGAAAGCGACTGATGATATCCTTTGTGGTATCGTCAAAGAGTTTTTGTTCAAACTTGCACTCATCATCAAGTGTGCGACGGGTCACCTCCTCTTTCTGCACCTTTTCTCTAAAGTCTTTGAAAGGCAAACGGGCGGCAACCATCTCATACATGCTGCAGCCGAGGGCCCACCAGTCCACAGACATGCGGTAGTTCTCCTGCCTCAGAATCTCAGGAGCCATGTAACCAGTTGTACCAGCCTGTTGACACACAAGGGGGAGACAGTAAGAGGAGTGAGGGGCAGTTCACAGAGACATAAGCCCTCTCCTGTGGTGCACGAGTTGCATCATTTGTACAATTAAAATGTATAGGTCTGGCTATAGGTCAAAGCTTGACATCCATACATATTCAATGTGCCATGTTTTACTTCACAGGGACTTTTAAAAAGTTTTTAGGGAATAATAGACTTCTGGCTATGTAATGAGGGCTCTTATTTACAGAATAGCATGCATCTTAAATGTATTTGAAATTTTCATTCAGTTTGTATTAACGATCCTGATTATGGGTTGGGTTGGACAAGGGTATGATATGATAATTATTATGAAATGAATTCAACGGTCAAACAATGAAAGTTAGCTATTCTTACACTCAGCATGACTATCTAGTCTAGGGTCCAGTGTCTTACTGCTGTGATGACTGTGGCTGTCTATTTCCAGAGTTTAGTGAGGGCCTTTGTCGAACTCTTTCCAAAGCCAGGGGAGTCCAGCTTTGCAATAGTGCAGCACTAGCTAACACTAAAATGCCATCATTTAGTTTAGCATTCATATTTTCGGGAGCAAATTGTGGCATCTTAGCTATTGCTGTATGTGTATGCTAACTGCTAACAATGATGTCGATGGAAAAGGATTTTGACACTGTTCAATGAGAAAACTAATCACCATCAGATGTTATTGCTTGTGTTACCTTTGAATCTATAAGAAAACAGTTTCTCGCAGATCTGTGCAACCCTAACCCATTATTTTATAAAATAGAAAGAAATGTGAATTTCAAAATACTCATGACCCTCCTAAGAAAGAGAGTTAAAAATGAATAAATTAACGTTTCATTTCTTCTCTTTTCTCAAAAACCAAACAGTCATCTAGTCTGGTAAATAAATCTGTTATTGATTTTTATGTAATTTCAGTTATCTAGAACAGACTGTCTGGACCAACAATCAACATCACAGGAAACAAAATTACATAATGAAACATGAAGATAAAAATAGAGAAGTAGAAATTTGGTCTACACAATAAGACACTGTTACAGAAAATAATACTGCATTTACTGCCCTCAACCAGGGCCGTCATCTGACAAATGAGACATCGTTGTTCACTTTGTTGGGGGTCAGGCACCTTTTAATAAGATTTATTTCAGTCCCACAGGTTTTTGCTTAGCCATCTTATCTATTCCTGGTAAGCTACTTGTAGAGGTGGGTCTCCCAGAGATAATGCAATTGTACAGGGTCCAGAATTGTGTCCAATGTCTAATGGTGGATGAACATTATGCACGGTGTAGTTGCATTAAATACAGAGCAAATCTTGCCTCTTGAGGGTAACAACCAAGCTATGTTCCCAAAACTTAAGGTACGATCAGGTGTACCAAAAAATATCTAGAGATTGCGTAAGGTCGAACAAACCACAAAGAGGCTTTGCAGAGTGCAAGACTGTACAAAAGTCTGACAGTGAGAATTGTAGGCTAATCTAAGGTCACGGCCACAACACTAACCTTCTGGCAGATCGTCTTGCTCTTTGGCAGCTCCACAGCCAATCCGAGATCTGACAGCCGACACTGTCCTTTGGCATCAAGCAGCACGTTCTCGGGCTTCATATCCCTGTACACGATGTTCATCGCGTGCAGGTGGAGAATCCCAGTGGTTATTTGGGCTGAGTAGTAAATGACACGCTCAAGGCGAATACCCCGCTCCCCAAGCTCATAGATATGGAACTTGAGGTCTCCTCCATTCATGAGATCCATGACCAGGCACAGGTGGTTCTTGCTGTCGTAAGCGTAGGCCAAGTTAACGATGAAGAGACTGTTGACCTTCTCCAGGATGTGCTTCTCCAGGAGAGCAAACCTCTCGCCGCTTTTCTTCTTCAGGCGCCTCTTGTCAAGCTTCTTGCAGGCATACATCTGGCCTGTGTGTTTCACCTGCATTGCACAAACCTGCAAGACAGAGCTACGTTACTTTAGAGTTTCAATCTGTGGCATGCTTTTTCCTCTGTCAGTACTGGTAGTTAATGGTTCATTTAGCAGTTGAACGAGAAATGTACAAGTCAGTCATATACTCATCTACAGTGTGTACATTTCACAGAGCTTAAGATTCAACATGAGCCTCCAATATCTCAGAAAGTTTCAACTAAGGCTATAGCAGCAAGACCCTTGCATTACACTTAGCAAAGATGCTTTGAGTGCCTTGAATTTAGCCCTTCCATTCATGTCAGAGAAAGTGTGTTATTTTAAATTTTAAAGTTTCTGATGAACAATGACTTGTAAGTCCATTGAGAAATCTGAAATTTTTATTCCCATCACAAGCTGAGTTTATATTACCTACCTCACCGAAGCCTCCTCTTCCCAAAGTCCGAAACTCGTAAAAATATTGTCACTTATTTTCTGCTTCTCATGCTCCTTCCACTGCAAGAACCTGTAAAAATAGGGGCTTTTCAGATACTCTGAGAAAGGTCTCCCCTTCAGAAAGTCCCTTGTGGCTTCTCTAATCTGGCCCATCACCACCTCATTGAAGTTCTTGTCTGATAACTTCTTTTGTTTCTCAGCTGCCTCTCCTGTGAGGTAGGAGAGAAAACTTTTCGACTCTGGTTGACAGAACTTAGCGAGGATGCTCTGTTTGACCTTCTCTCTGGCTTCATCTTCAGTAAAGCTCCAGTTATTGAGCTCCTCCAGAAACTCAATGGCGGCCAAATACTGCGGGTTAGTGGCCCGGATGAACTGCCGGAACAAATTTCTTCCGATTGGCTGTTGCTCACACAGAGATTCGTACTTCCGTCCCACTTCCACTCGCAGAGCAGAGGTCTCTTTGGCTTTGGCAGCGTCATGAGAGTCTCAGCTTCCTCAGCTCATTGCTGTCTACATGCTGAGCATTCAGGTAAGCTGTGCTGGCCACAAGGTTGTCCAGTCTCATCAGGTCATCCACATTGGATGAATCCTGAGAAACAGCCAACATTAAGGCAGTCATATCTGCTACTGACCACCTACAGCACCTGCATCCTGAACATCTTCTACCTTTTGTTCTGCATCTCTCTGAGCATTACAAGTCCCTCCGTTCTTAGGGATTTGTGGTTAACCAAGTGTCTGTGCACGCTTATTCGTAGACAGGACTAAGGGAAAGCAACTTATGTGGTTTGAACTTAAGAGGCTTTCGGCTCATCTATTTATAGGAGACGCAAAGTGCCTGTGTGCAGTACTGTAACTGTGCAGCCAACATTACATGATGAGGTGGCAGATCATGACCTTAACAAGGTATGGTTGATTGTAGCCTGTTGTGAGATAAGAGGAACCTGAAAGAGTGTGTTCTAAGTATGTGCAGGATGCAGATAAGTAGGCATGTTCACATTGTAAGGCTTATTACAGGGGAGATAAAGGTTCAGTAAGAATTTCTTAATTTTGCAAACTAAAATTAAAAAATTCTGAGCCTTTCTACTTAGTATACGGCTGCTCACCACAACATATTTTATATTTGGAGCCATATTTGTTTTAAAACTTCATCTTGATTCACTTGAACATCACAGTTGGCATTGAATGCACCCTCCTCCCAATATATTTATATTGTAAAAAGCAAAGCTGTGACTGACGAACCAAAGTTGTATCATTTATGCCGCAGTTTGAAGTGTTGATGGTAACCTCGCCTAGAACAATTCTTCTAAAGGTAAAAAGTACCTAATCAGCCTTACAGTTACCATTAACTGAAATCAACCGCTTGACATAACGAGTAATCATCGCTGAATGAGTGGCTACCCATGAGTCAACAAACAGAAGTATTTATGTTTCATGAGCAGCTAACTGTAAAGACCAATGAAAGCTGAAGTGATAAGTAGGTTAATCTTTTGATCCGTCATCAGGACACTGTGTGAAAAGTTATCAAACATTTGATAAAAACAAATTATCCGGTGACATCACCTTGCTTACAGGTACTGAACTGGTATTTTTTTTTTTTTCAGTTTTCATTTGCCTCTTAGGTGCAGCTGTGAAATCTGTTATGTAGGCTCCACACATCGTCTGATAAAATTGGTAGCTGAGAAATCTACAGGCTATTTCATGTTGGACTTAAAGTCTCTGTCTTCACTTGCATTGAAAACTAACAGAAATGGAATCCAAACATGAGTGCATGATTTTATGAACAGATGTTTTTGTGAACAAGGACACATTGGATAGTGTTTTGGATGAGTAGTTGTCAAATGTGCATTTATTTTTTCACCTTGTTACATTTATCAACAATTTTGATTTGAAATCCTCAAAAAAGTGGCAAAACTTTCCTTTGAATGCAAAAACCGGATCATTTTAAATAGATAGCTTATTGTATGCTGTGATAGACATTAATGTCCAGTTAATGTTGGAATCACAGAAACCAGACAAAGGGACTGATTCTTGTTCACTTCCCCCACGTTAGGAAGTTGTTTGAAGCTGCGACCTTCCAGTCATTAGCCTCATGACTAAGTGAATTATCCCGATCAGTCTTTACCACTTACACTATTCCCTGACAAGAAACAGTGCTCAGCAGTTTTCTGGAGAGGACACTGAGCTCTCCTGTAAAGATTCTGAAACATACCCATCACAGTTACACTCAGGAAAGACAAACAATATGAACGTAAAAAATGTGGTTTCAATTCAGGCGGGACTTGATCATTTCAGAAAGTGGCTTTCTAAACCAGGCAAAGTCTTGTTTTCTGAGATTTCTGAAGTAAAAAAATAGTAAAATAACTCACCCTGTAAAATGGCCTACATTAACATATATATTATAGATATTTATATATTCAAATTTCAATCCTAATTTATTCCATTCAAAGCAGCTTTGGAAGTTTTTCATGGGAGAGGACAGAACAGTATAATTTCCACAAATTATTAGAAGAAAAAAATAACCTGTTTGCCACTATACACATTTCTTTATTTTTAAAAAGACAGCCACATATTCAATATGTGTTTAACAGCACCACAGATAATTATGTGAAGCTAACGAGACCAAACACTGAAACAAAGTTCATCCTTCTCTTTGAGACTCTCGAACCCTTCCAGCCTCCTCAAACTATCCGTAACAACTGGTCTGCACTGCTTTCATTTTTAGTCCATTGTCCTCCTTTGACAACCAGGACTACTGGAACATGCAATCATAAATAGGAGGACTGTTGTCAATGGCCAAGTTGCTCTGCACACTGTAGTGATCACTGTCCAGTCCGTCATCACTTTTAGGTGAATACAGGTGCGGTCTGAGAATCAGGCAGCCTGGAGTCGATGTTTATTTGCCGATTCTCTGAACCACCCAGTCCTGCTGGCAGAGGGGGCAGCGATTGTTCTGCTTCACCCAAAGGGACATGCAGCAGTTATGGAAGGAGTGGTTGCATTCTCCCCAAACAACTGAGAAAAGATGCAGATAAAGAAACACGGTGAGACAACCAATTAATTCCTGCAGGGATGAGATAAGGTTACTGCAATATGAGAGTATGTATAAATAGTTTCAATGATGATTATTTCCTCTCAACAGATCAATTGCTTCTGAATGTCCCAAGGACTACATTTAAGCTAAGTGGCGACCGAGCATTTTCAGTTGCAGCGCCAAAGCTCTGGAACGATTTGCCTCCTCATATTCAGCTGTCCCCAAAACTGCCTGTTTTTAAATCGAACCTGAAAACGCATTTTATGCATTTGCTTTTGGCTGTGCTTGAGAGTGGCTATTATCCCTTTTTCCTTCCTATTTGTCTTAATAATAATAATAATAATAATAATTCCTCAAAGACAAGGAATAACAACAAAAACAGTTGAAAGTTGAGATTGATATGGTTGTAGGCAATGTTGAAGAGGTGAGTTTTTAGGGATTTCTTGAAGGAAGTCAGTGTGACTCTAATGATTTTTGGGAGTGAGGTCCAGAGGGTGGGAGCGGCAATGGAGAAGGCCATGTCCCCCCAGGACTGATGGTTTGCATCAGCAGACCTGAGAGCGCGGGTGGGAGTGTACCGGTGGAGGAGCTCAGACAGGTAGGGGGAAGCCAGGCTATGGAGGGCTTTGTAGGTGAGGATGAGGAGTTGGAAGCAGAGATACGCTGGAGGATGGGGAGCCAGTGGAGGTCATGAAGGACGGGGGTGATGTGGTCATGGGTGCGGGAATGTGTGAGAAGATAAGCGGCGGAGTTTAGGATATCTTGCCTTTTCCTGAGTGTTTTGGATGATGAACACTTTTTTACTTTTCATGTCCTGCTGTTTCTGCATTGGTGTGTTTTTTTAAAATTATTTTTTAAGTGTGATTGTACAGGACTTTGTTCAACTTTTTGTTGTTTTTAAAATGTGCTTCATAAATACATTTGGATTGGATTATTTTTTAGAGTGAAAATGTATCAGTTTTTTTTTTTTTTAATTTAAGTTTAATTATTTCTTACAAGCACAATCATTGCATCTATGACATGCTTTCATACAGTCAAACTTTACGCTTAATAGTTTTCAGCCATGATAAATAAGCAGGCTCATACAAGCCTACATTTTTTACTCTTTAATAATTGTTTATGAACACAGTAAACAAATAAATGTAAATGTAAACAAGTGTCATTATTCTACAGAAATCCCTTACACATTTAAACAGAAGAGACATGTTATTTATGACTTTAAATAATGGAGCTAAGACGATTTCCACCTCCTTCCAGTGTGATAAGCTGACTGTGACGGTGTTAATGTGTTTGACAGCTTCAACTAACAAGCTTACTAATGTTAGCTTGTAGGATAAACATGATGTGTGATATACTGGTCTAACTGGTCAAACTGGGCTTGTTTCTTCTCACCAACACAGTCCTCTTGTTTGTTTTCCGCCTGACATCGGAGGCAAGCGTCTGCAAATAAAAAAAAAACAATACGTTACAGAAGCACCGTGCAGGAGATTTAGGCCAGCGATGGTCTTATTAGCCACGTTAGCTACATTAGCCCGGTGTCTGAGCGAAGCTAGCCGACTATCGCCGTCTGTTCCCCGGACTCACCCATGACTTGTACCCGGCAGATGGCACAAGTGTCACACTCGACGTCCCAGCTCCACATGGCGACAGCGTTCCACTTCTTCAGGGAGAACATTTTGTCCCCGCCGGACTTTGAGCCTGAGGAAGTGTTGTGAGAGAGAGAGACTAAACCCGGCTCGTCACCGTCATCCATCTCTGCTGCACGGGTCGGAGGTAAACTTAGCCACACAAGCTAAGCTAAACAAAATGGATGAACCGGGCTAGGCGATGCTAAATGCTAAAGTGGTTTACGTCTCCATGACGACAATGGAGGGCGCTGTTTCCCAGCGTTTGTCTGTGGGAAATCATACACCAGGGATGGGCAACTTTGTGTCACAGCAAGGGCCACACTCATTTAATTCTCACCGCCAAAGGGCCAAATTGTAGGATACAAAAACGATCAATTATGAATCAATTATAAAAATTATCAATTATCAATAATGTCTCAAATTTAACTTAACGTATTATGACTAGTGATTTCATGGCAGATTTTGTCACATTCATGTTTCCAATTCATTGGGGGCCGCATGTGGCCCCCGGGCCGCCAGTTGCCCACCCCTGTCATAGACAATTATTAAATGAATAAATCAATTAATTTATAAAAGAATGAAGGTTACACGCTTCATAATAAAGAACACAGTCATGCACTAACATGGACGGCAGTGGCTCAGTTGGGACTTTGTTTGGGAACCGGGTAAAAGTATGCTTCATCTTTAAAATGATGAAGTTGATGTTGAAACCCCCTCCCGTTTGCCACTGAGAACTCTGGACTAATAACTCTGAAGCTAACTTTTCAAAAGTACAATCAGTTTACTGCACATTGCACATATTGCACAAGTTTACTTTTTCTTTAAATTTTATTTTATTTTATTTACCATTTGCACAATTTAGAATTTATTACTGTAAATATTATTTCTTTTATTTTACCTCATTTTATTTTATCTATTTTACCTTATTTTTGGTTGTATTGCACAGCGGGACGGAGACAAATGCAATTTCGATTCCACTGTATGTCTGGCATATTTTGAAATTGACAATAAAGTTGACTTTGACTTTGACTTTGAAGTTGGCCTAGGCTAAATAAACAATCAGAAATATATAGGCATATATATCCATATTTTTTAATTATTGTAAAATTATAGAAAATTACTACACACATGTTTGTTTCCATGTATATTTTATGCAAGGTTTTCTTGCCAAATTAAGCCAAAACATATGGTCAAATTAAGCCAAAGGGTTCAAAATGAAAGTCTAACAATTTTTATTTTTAAAAATGACATAAAGGAATTACAAACAAGCGATTAAAAATGTGATTAATCGTGTTGAACCATTGAAGGGTAAATATTACTGATTGGCAGCCCTTAGATAATAATATAGGCATATTAAAACATTAAGTTCAAAAGGTGTAAAGTACTGAAGAAGTTAGCGTTGCTCAAGAAGTGCAGAGTTGAGGAAATAAAGCAATGTGTACAAACAGCACAATACTGAACAGTATAGATGTTGCACATGCAGAGTATTGCACAGTAAGCTCATCAGAAAACAATTTGATTTGATGTCAGTTTTAATTTATGTCAAATCCTCAATAATGTGGTGTTCAGCTGTGTTTGCTCCGATACATTTACATTCTCCATAAGTCAAACAAGTAAGCCTCCAGCTGGATAACTGGATGTGCCGCAATGATACACAAATCACGCATCTGCAAAAATGTATCACAAAGGAGATAACGTTCATATTTCATATGATTTATGAGCATATAAGGATTGTTAGCCAATAAATGTGCTGACCTTCCAGTGTCTTGATGCATGTCAGACTGAGGATCAGATAAGAGTGAGTGTACTTGGAGGTGCTAAGAGTATGTTTTGCAGCTTCCAGGAAGATTTCTTAGTGTTTGTATGCATGTTTCATGGTTAGGCCTACAGGCTCATTTAAGGAGAAAGATGGTTGCTCCAAAGTAGTTTTTTTTTTAAAAACAAAGAAACATAAGACTTTAATGTCTACATGTCTAATGTCATGTCTAATACAAACAGCCATATCAGAGAGATGAAAAGAAAAAATGTAATCGATTATTTTATTCACATTTCCTTCTACTGATTTTTACAAATATTTTAATCATATATAAGTTTCAAGCTTGCAGGTATGCTCACTGAAGGGATACATGGATACCACTCTTTCAACAGGGTGGATTAAAGATTTCTCTTATCTCAGTTTGTCCACCGATCTTCCTGCTCCATAAAAATAACTTGGATAGTACATTTTCATTGGCTCTTAAAATGGTATAATATATAGACTTTCCTGTTGATGTCCAGCTGTGTGTTGAGAAATGAATGATACCAGTGGTTAGGGGTGGTTACAGGGAACAAGACGCACTCATTCTTATGACTTTGAGCTGCCCCACTTCTCAAGCAAACCCGTGCTCTTTCGAATAATTTCAGATTTAAAATCAGCTGCAAATACTATCCTACAGTTCAGACAGTATGCTCGTCTAAAAATGCCATATGATACTAGAGAGATTAAACAAAACAGAAATGTTATGTCAAAGTTTAAAAAACACAGAGTTAAAAATAGGGCATTTTGAATATTTGCTTGCATGAAACTGTCATGTCATTTCAGACCTATACACAGCATCCTAATCAACTTTGACGTTGCTCTTGACATGATACTGGATGTCTGCTCCACCATGCTATCGCCCTTGATTGTCGTCTTGGTTATTTGCTCTGTCCTCAAATGAGCGTACACTGTCTGATCTACACATAGACTGGTCACGTAGAAATATCCTTTGGTTGAGCCCTCACTGATACTCACTTCCTCAGATCTGCCTGGAGTTCAAAAGATGAAAGAGATGTTCAGTAAGACCATGAGCCACCACATCGACCATCCATTGTACCATTGGGCTACTCCCATGGGGCATGTCTCCTTTTTTTCCTAACCATTCCCTGGAACTATACAGCCATGGAATGGTTCATGTGCGACACACTGGCAGCAGACATCCTCTAGCCTTCCTCTTCTTCTCCTCTGTCAAAATCATGAGCCTTCTTCCACTCTTCACCCCATAGAGTCACTGTCTTCTTGCACGCCCCCTCACTGTCTACTTGTCAGATTGGCTTGTGTGTTCAGCCTAGTTAATGCCCTTCTTGCTGTGCCTGTGTTTGATCCAATCTATCTGTTTCCCAGAAACACACATTTCAGATTTTGAATGATGTTGTGATATTCTGACCCCTGCCTTCCTTTCCAGTAAACTAAACATGATTGCATAATGACTTTTTCAGTGTCTGTCAGAGACACTAAAGTAGAATCTGGTCACAAAACAAAAAATAAAATAAACCTTTTTAGCTTCCTGTTTCTGAAATGTTAATTAAGTTTAAATTAAATTAAATTGAATATTAATTTGTGAACTAGGATAGACTAGAAAATACAACAATTGACAGGATAATGGCCTTCTGCTTCTGCTTTGTTACCAAATAGTGAGGCCCTGTGTAGAAGGTCTCCTACAGGCTGTTTATGCCAAATTAACATGTTTAGGGCGCTGCCACTGCTGGGAGCAAGTATAGAAAAATACATTTCACAGGTAACTGGGGGAACTTGAGTGTAGAGGATCCCAGCAAACAGCTCACTTCAATAACCTTTGAAATCAAAAATTGCAGATATGTGCCTTTAAATTGTATTTATTTATTTTTATTTATTTAGATAAATGTGCCTTTGTCCTGTTTCATTCAGTTCTATCCAGGTATTTTTTATGTAGCCTAATCATTTTCAAAAATTGCACAACACAGGTGGTGCAGGTAGCTTTCTTCTAAAGTGCTTACAAGACATAAGGGATTGGAAATGTCTTGTGCTATTGGTCTGATGTGTAAAATAGATATACGAATAAAGCACAGACAAACACGTATTTGTGACTTCTTGATTTACGAATTAAGTGTCAAATGTTTATAATTTGAAAAAAAGAAAAAAAAAGAAAAAACCGCTAATTTTTTCCACATCCTGAAACGTCAGGAGTGTTTTGACAGTAGTAGACACTTTTCCGACCGTCCTTGAACGCAGCAGCCTTGAACGTAGCATAGGATCTTCACGCACTTTACTGAAGTGCGCCTCCATCCACACGCGCACATGCAGTAGTAGTAGAAACCTGTGATACAGCTCCTAGGAAAACTTTGTAAGCCTGATCAGAAAGTAGAACTGGTTGCAGACTTGAAGCTGTCGGACTCGTGGAAATTGGTGTTTTGGATTTGCCATGACTGCAAGGATTCAGGGAGCAGCCGGCCGGGACAAACCCGGACCAAAGAGCCGTGAAACAGGTAAGTTATAAACTGGAAGCAGGGACATGTCTTTTTTTTAAATTTTTTTTTATTAAAGACAGTGTTGCTGGATTAATCTTACAAATGCAGACAAGATCGTTTTATTATTCAAAGCATACTTCTTAAGTTTATGAGGCCTACATATAAATTACGTTTGTTTGTATTTATGTCTATTTCATTAGATGTAGCAGAGTTCTTACATTTCACTGAGGGCTAAATGTTTTCCCATGATGGTGACATCGCCTATTAGTGTTGTTCATGACTGAATGATAGTTTGGAGAATGGAATAATGCATTTATTTTCTTCTAATTTATAGAAACATTATAATTAAGTAAGGCATCCGTTAGAGGGTCATGTGACTGAAAGGTGTCTATGTGTCTGATGCTCTGTTTAGATGTTTTAGATGAAGAATTTAACCTCAGTCTCAGGGAATGTGAGGGCTGCATTCACAGAAACTTTCTTCCTGAATGTCATGGAAATAATACATGAATTTACTTCAGTCAACAACAATTTGTAAGGAATAAATGTGTCATGGGACATGTGTTGTGTACACGTTTTTATCTCCAAACTTTACAACTACAAACTTTTATTGACATATATTGTGGGTTTATATTTAAAATTAGTAAATGATGGTTTAAAAGGTAAAGTTTATTTACATTGAATACACAGAAGCAATGGAACCAATTCAATTTATTAGAGTTGATCTGAACAAGATGGCGACATTGAGTTGGGATCATTGTTTTTTTTTAAATGAAGTTAAGCACAGTTAGATTATATCAGTTTAAATTAGGTTTATTTTTTTGACCCTGAGATCAGACTAGAAATATTCAGGCAGGCAGGGAGGCGGCTGCTAAGGAGCTCCAATCCGGCAAGCATCTGGTCTTGTGTTTTTCTTTGTCCTGCTCTGTGTCATATAACACTCTTCTCTTTTTGCTGCAGAGATGATGGTGCGAGCCAGGAGAGCTCTGTGTTTGGTATTGGGAATGCTAAGTCTGTCCCTGCTGCTGGTGGTGCTGGGAGTCTACACGACGACCAGAACAGAGAGCCTGAATGTGACTGGCTACACCTCTGGAGTTATTGTGAGTTGTTTATTTGACCCATACTGATCATCTTCTGAGTAAGAAAAAGCTAAATGACATACATGAGATTAGAAAAACAAGACTTGTTGTTTGAAACCAAATCAAATCATCCTCCAGCATGTGATAGCCATCATGAAGATGATATCCTTTAGTTGCACTCCTCCGGCCAAACATTTTGCTTTACCTGAAAGATATTGGACATGCAGGATTTTAAATTGATGACTGGCAGTTCTTTGCAGCAGTCATGATCATTTCATACATTGATTAGACTGAAAACTGGAGTCAGAGAGAAGATAATGGTTCTTCTGGAAGTACTGTCAAATTGCATGGAATGCATGGTGGAAGCATCATGCTGGAAGCATCAGCTGTGAGATCTTGGTCATGCATTCATGACTCACTTTATAGCCATCAATCACCTTTAATAACACTATACAACATAACACTATGTGCTATAACATTTTCCACCAAGAGATCTTCTTTAAAAACCGTCAAATGCTATTATTATTTGTTCTTTTCTTGGAAACAAACCATATCATAACAAAGCCTCACAGCTCTTGTGTAAATTGACCACAGGTTTTGTTTTGTCGAACACTTATCGTGTTTCTTTTGTGATGCTCTCTTCAGCTAACCCTTGGATCATTCCTGGGACTTCTTGGACTCCGGCTGGAAGAAAACCGCAAACAGCTGGTATTATCTTCTGCTCTGCTTGTATCTCTTTATCTCACACAGTCATACACACACATACACCTACAGTATATCCCAGATCATAATTTTTCCTCATGTTTTCTCTGTGCACACCCAGTCCCCAATCCGCCAAGATATGGGTGTACTTTGGCAAAGAGAGCGATACAGAATATAAGAGTGTCTGTGACATGAAGCTACAGCAGACATCTTGTGGCTTCCTGAACTCCAAACATCCTCGACACATAATAGTCGATTCAATTCTTTAAATTGAGTTTACAAACACAAACGATAACCTCATCATTTTGCATCATCAATGAAAGCTATTAAGTGACTCAACTGTAATTTCAGACTTGGGTATGTACATTCTGACACATCATGAGGAATTGTTAGCTGAATGTATTTTGAATGCGATGGCCATTTTTGTTAAATTCATTTATAGGGCATCATACAGGTTAGTACAGACTTGAAAAACATTGCTGACAGTTTATGTAGAGAGATTTTGGACACAGCCTGCATGTCGAAACAATAGGCAGGCAGCTTTATGAAGAGTAATACTCAACATTTAAAGAGTGTGAAGCCTGGTGTCTTTAAAAACCTAAAGGATTGATTAAGCAGTGTGCTCACCTGTCAGCAGCCATGTTTATTATCACTAGCTAACAAGCTACCTAGCACACTACCTCAGGTAGTAATCAAAACTTTACTTTTTACGCAACAATCCTTACAATGTTTTGTTGGGTGACATCATTTTAAAAAGCCTAGAGAGCAACTGGCACGTTAACATGATTTCTAATTGTATTAAAGCTCAAATCTATTGCAGACGTGTTTATTTTTGTACTCATGTCCATGATTATTGGGTTGGGAACTTCCCCAGTCAACATAATCTGAGTTAGCAGAATAATTGCTAATCACACTGGTTAGTCCTCTTCTTTTTAAAAACATATTAAGCTAAAGAGATGAAGTCATTATATATAAAGTAGTTATTCGGTGTAGTGAGATGTTGGGTGCCTAATGATCATTGACCTAAACGTAACTGAGCTAAAAGACTGAATCTTTTTGCTCAATGTCAGAATGCCACCATTTCAAAATGTATAAAACTTTCACAGGATCTTCTTTTGAAACGAGTCAGTCAAAAACACTGAATTTTTTCAGCCAACTTTAGTAACGTTTGCCAAATTAGCGAAGTAGCCACAGCTGATAATCTCTTCCGAGGAAAGTTTTCATTTCAAGCATAGTATAAAGTATCAACAACATATCGTAGTGTTCTGTCTGAAGACCAGGAACAATAAAAAGAAGTTAGAACAAAAAGCTTGACAAATATAGAGTAACTTGGCTAGGTTCATCAGTAGAAGAGTAACTTTGGTTTCATCAGTAGAAGAGTAACTTTGGTTTCATCAGTAGAAGAGTAACTTTGGTTTCATCAGTAGAAGAGTAACTTTGGTTTCATCAGTAGAAGAGTAACTTGTTGCTCATCAGTATACACAGTTTTTAAAATGCAGAAGACTTGACATCTGCCACATAAAGGAGCCAATATATGAACATTTAACATGTAGTATTTTTAGACTAAAGTAAACAAGATTTGTGTGTTTTTGTCATTTTGATTTCAATTTAGCAGCAGGTTCACTGTTTTAGATCATCTAGACTGCTGCCCTGTCCTTTAACATACATTCTTTTGTCTGAAGTATCACTCTATGACTCATCCCAACTCATCCCAATGTTATTTCAGCTTTGTAAAGCAGATATTTTCCTCTGAGAGAAGTATAACAAACAGCTATAAAAAATAATTATGTTAGCCAGATGTAACTTATAGTATGACTGTTCACATAATGAGAACAGGAAATTAAGTATATCTGATCCACTCAGGTTATTGTTGACACAATCCCTCATTCCCACTGATATCATGATAATCAAAAACATTACTCAACAAACTGTCTGACAGTTAATGAGTCATTTGTATCAGATGTCATGTCTGGGGTTAATATTTAGGGTTCTGATAGAGATGTTCTATCTTTCCTTTTCTTTTTACTACAATGCCTATTGGCCAGGTATTTCCTTTTCAACAAATGAAATAACAAAATCCAAGAGATTGTCAAGATGCCAAAGCAGCTTCAAGCTAATGAATATTATCTGAAGGTGCAGTTCATATTAGAATACTCATGCCTATTACCTCATCCTTAAGTGATATGCTATCAAAATATTCCCAGTAAACGTTAAATACATCAGATAATCCCAATAATGAGGAGCATACGACTTCCCATTTATGGAGTTCTTAGATAGAGCAAGTTTTGCTTGGAAGTTGTGTTGTGTTTTTATTGATTTCATTTGTGAGATAGCCAGCTGATAGAGACATTGTTTAAAATAAAAGAAGCATATCATATTACTGTTCTGAGACTGATATCAAGCATTCAGAGAATTCTTTTACCTGACCTTACCTGAACTACAGAACCCTGAATGCTCATGAATTGGGATATTTCCTTTATTTTGTCAGCACTGTGAACATTTTCAACTATTAAAGTAAGATGACATGAACACAATTGAATACACATGCATTTATAAATGCAAAATTTAAATTATAAAGTCTACATAAGTGAAAAGCAAACAAAATCCTGTGCAGGAGTGGTAGTACGGCTATATCAACATACTGGAAATACTGGGACAAAAGAATGAATACTAGGTAACATTTTCATTACACTTTCATTTTATAGTAGTATTACTTAATATTCAAATATGTCCCACATGTATCATAAATAAAAGAAATAGAAAAATTCAAACATTATTACTTATTATTACTCTTTAGTTCAAAAGGCCACATATAATGCAAAATGCTCTTAACCATGTTTTTCTAAGACTTAAACGTGTATAACAATTATGACAAAAGCCCATCCTCTCTGTCTTCTGCCTGCTCCACGTTTCAGAAAATGTGTAATCAAACAGGCCGTTTGGAGATTTCCCTTCATGATTTATAGGCATGAATACAGGATCAGAGTGGATTTTTAGAAAAAAAAACTTAACAGACATGTTTGGTTGAGCTCTGAGACTTATTGAAACTTGTTGAAAAGAAGAATAACATGTGATCATTAAGATTTAATTTATGTTGATTTGTGAACAGACCTAATAACTTCACATGTTTGAGACAGTACCAGTTCAAAACAATCTCTGCTCAGGGCCTTAACTGACTGGCAAAACTTTGAATATCTCTGTCATTTCTGTATGTAAATTCAGTCATTTATACTTTTTTTTTGTCTTCCTCCAGCTGACGGCTGCAATTGTATTCTTGAGCTTTGGGATCATCGCCTCATTTCTGTGTCTTTTGATTGATGGCGTCTGTATTGCCATTAATATGGTGAGTTCCCTGAACTTTATGCACATCAACACTAGAAACGATTGTAAATAAATCAAAGCAGTAACAGTAAAAATAAAGCACTATGTGGGTTGATTGATCCACTATGACATCCTCTGGGACTGCCATTTGTGCCAAGATCAATCTGTTTTGCCCCCCATTTAAAGTTCACTGTTTATACCTGTTTGAATTTTTTAACCACATGAATAGTCGTAAGTAAAATGAGCAATATGTAATGAACTGAAATTGGTGCTGCAGTCCAAATTCAAAACATTGGGGAGAGCTAAACCTGACCTGACCTTACAGTTTTTGTTTTGCAATTGTTCAACATATTGATTTTCTTACAAGCCACCAGGCAACAATCAGAGACTCCAGACAAATTATGAGGAAAGCAAGGTCAGTCTGGGCCAGCACTGACCATCGTCTCTGGAAGGAATTTGTTCTTCTCCCTTCTAGTAGGAGGTACAGGCTGCTCAGGGCTATAAGCAACAGATGCACATTTTAGTATGTTTTAGTGCAATTCATTCACTTAATCTTCCTTCAACCTTGGCCACACTTTCCAGCAGCACTATAGCACTAGTGGAATTTTTAACTAAGAGTTACATTTACTTATCTTGGTTGGATTCCATCAGGTTGTGTTGCACTGTCCTACGTCTTTTTATACGTTGTGTTTGTGTTTTTACCAACTGCTATAAAAACCACATTTCCCTTCCAGGGACCATAAAGGTATGAACTGAAGGAGGTTTCTGTGCCTGGCCAATAACTAAAACCACAATTTATTTTTTAAATTTTTAATACAAATTAAAAAAAACACTGTAAATTTCTGAACTTAAGATCTTCCATTTTGATGAACTATATTTTATCCATTAAATGATATTGTTCTGTTAGGGTTAACCATTTACATGTATCAGCTTTCTATACAATAGGAGCAGACAAGTGAGCCATCTGTATATTCATGCCAGGAGTTAATTAGCAGGGAATGACTCTGCGTCTGATTCCATGCATACAGAGAGAATGATGAAATAAGAAAATAAGGTGAAGGAATCATACTGTCACCTTAAACCATGGGCCTGTCAACAGAGTTTTCATAATGTGCTAAGGAAGAAGGAAGTATCTTTAATAAAGAGGGTTTGGAAACTTAAGCTTTTATGGCACCAAGCCTCTCCTTTGACAGATTAGATGATTTAATGTATAATGATAACGACTTTGTACTAATCGTATACAAAGTTATGGATGAAGGCCTGCCTTTATTAATAAATCCTCAAAGAGATTGTGTAGTGTTAAACCTTTAATTCTTCCTCTGAGTCTATTCATTGTCGTAATTTATGATAAAAGGTTAAAGCTACATCTCTTCTTTCCTCAGTTTAATTAAATCCAGATAAGGAAACATAAATCACTTTTTATACGACACTGAACTGGTTTGTACCATATAACATATTTTATAGCCCTTCATGAGCCTGAAATAAAAATGTATTTCTTATTTCACTTTTGTCTCTAAGTTATAAATGCAATAAGATATTTAGAATTGTCTGAATAAATAAACAAACATTCAGAATTCCTCTCTGGAAAAAATGTGAAGTCTCTCTAAAAGGCCCTCTCCCCTACTTCTGAATGCGCAGAATGGTTTAGTCCTCCCACCACCGCTCGACTGGATTGAGCTGTCGGCGGTCAGTTGAGTCAAGAGTGAGAAATGTGGCAGGCTGTAGATTAAACCAGTCGTTAGAGGAATTCAGCCAAGAATATCGTTTGGATCATATCTGTGTTTTATGTATAGATATATCTTATTAAACCCCTTCATAGATACGATTTCATACGACCTTATTTTTATAAAATATTACATCGCGGTCAAAAAGAGTCCACTTTGGAGCTATATTTGATATCAACAGATTCAGAGTAGTTCAAAACTGAGACCGCTACTTCTGCCCAAAAAACAACATTTTGAACGTCAGGTGAGACAAATGATAATGCAGTCTAAGAAGAATTAAAGTGAAGTCAGAACTGAGAAGAACTATTACAGCCTCATTTTAAAGTCATGCTGACAAGTGTGGTAGAATATAATTCAGATGTATGTTTACAGTTTATCATTAATGCCAGTAGAATTTTCAATTAAATAATCTTACCAATAAGATCACTTTATACAATAAAAGCCTTTAGAACATTAACAACAGCAAGTTAATAAGTAAAATGATGTTGCAAGGAATGTTTCAACTGTCTGAAAGGTGTGTATATTACAAAGTTGAAATTATGTTTAAACGATGAGGAAACATTACAGTGGTTATTTATCTCCCATTTTCAGGGTGTAAAACAAAGCATAGTTGTTTAAAGTTTGTATTGGTCATTTGTGTGATGGAGGTGTTGTTGTAGAAATTCTCTGGGTTTAGTTTGGGCCGTGGTAGGGGCCCTATGTGAGATCTTTTCATGGGCCCTGAGTTCCTGGCGACACCCCTGGACCAGGGTGTACCCTCTCACCCAATGACAGCTGGGATCTGCTCCAGCCCCCCGCCACCCCGAACGGGAAAAGCAGTATACTGTAGATAACAGATGGATGAATTTCTTTATATTTGCCAGCTCATTTAAAAGGGGTCGCTTTTCACAAAGATGTAATACAGAGCGTAACATCTTTACCAGTGTTCTTTGACATTTACCACAGAACAGAAAATTTAAAGTTATTTTTACAAATTTAAAGGAGCCATTAACAACCCTATGTTCAAAGTTTGCGGCTCATCACTAAAAACAAACCCAACACTCACATCAATGTGATTTATTATCCTTCTCCACATGTGGCCATCTGGAATATCTTCAGTAATAAATAACAAGTCACTGTGACATTTTTAAAACTCTACTCTTGATTGAAGGTTTTCTACCATTAAAGCCTATAGGCTGATATTTCTTCATGTTTTAACTTTATCCAGGACATGCGTCCTCTGACAGCAGGCAGATGCCAGTATTACAGCAGTGGTGGAGGCTACATCTATGAGAACTTCTACACCTCAGTGAGTAACAATGTACTTGTGTGTGCAAGGAAACAATACAGTCCAGCTTTTTTAAAATTCAAGTTGGCTATAATCCTATTTTGTCTTTAAAGAAACACACCTTTTATGATACTTTTCTACCTCAGCTAAAGTTATTGTTGTAGAACTTGTTCAGGTTGTGATTTGGACTTTTGTTTTAGGTGTCGTGTTGGAATCTAAAGGATTCTTGTACTATGACGGTACGGAGTGGGACCTGCTACTGCTGTGATCTGTATAACTGTGCCAAGTGAGACAAAAACCAATATCCTATGAATTCCTCTAATCATAATGTGACCCCACCATGTCCAAAACCAACTCACACCTGTTAAAAAAAAAAACCTAATTATCACTTCAGACTTTTTCTGTTCATTGATTAGTTTTCCTAATTAACAAATGATGTTTGATTCTAAAGAAATGCTGCTGTCGTTTTGTCCTGCAGTGGAGGCTACCTCAGCAACTTCTATGAGTTTGTTGGAGTTGAAAGCTGTGAGGAAGTTTTCACTTTGTACATTTTGATTTGGACTCTGGCCGGCCTGAACCTCCTGGCCTTCTTCACTGGAATCCTCACCACAGCAGTGTTGGGCAGCATCAAAGGCATGGTAAGACACGCATAACCAGACACAAACACATGGTGATAAAGGTCCATATTGTATATGGATGTACTACATCAGATTACTTCCCTCTGCAGTTTGCTTAAATGCAGGGACTCTTTTGGTAAATACATGATCTGTATGAGGATGTAATGTGAACTGACTCTACAGGTCTGTTAGGTTAAGATCTTTCCTACATAATTAGATGATAACATCAAAAGTCCAAAAGAGAGGCTTTGTGTTTTTCCCTACCAAATAAACCTGATGTAGTATTTGATGAACATAAGAAGCTGGATTTAGTGACAGAATTCTTTGACTCACCAATATGCAGGTTGCTGTATATTTCACAATGTATTACGTGTCACGCTCAGTTTCCCAGAGATGTTGCTGATTTGGCTGGTAATTTAAAACACAAAGTGACGTATAAAGCAATTTTCTTTCCCTCAAAAGGGACTCAGTGATCTTCGGTTGCGTCCTGGTATTTTATTAAATTTGATGCATTTACTAGAAAGCCTTGTCAGAACACCATAAATAGTTGGTCTTTAGTTAACGTGATTATCGCACATGCTTTTGGTTGGATGTCTGAAAAAATCAGTCATGCCATAATCAGGAACACTCAGGTTCTCATGTTCGTTTTAGTCCATTAATATTATTCATGTGGTTTAAGCATTTTTTACATTGTGTTTCAAGTGAAAACGATAAACACAACAACAAAAATTTGTATTTTTAGAATAACATTTTATTGGTGAAAATACATGAAAACAATAGTGACACTAAAAACAAAACCATAAGTAGGAAAACAAAACAGAACATAAAAGACACCAAGGAATGTGTGCCACTAAAAATGTTCATTTGATTTATTCTGTTCCCTTCTGACCTTTAAATCCATTATTTGTTTTGTCCAGGACATTTTTATACCCTTATTATTCTACTCAGACAAAAGTTTTTTTTTTGCAGGAAAGCAGAACATATAACACGATCTGAGTGGATTATGCAGGGCGCTGGTTTAGCTCAGAGCATGTGCCCCCTGTACCGAGGCTACAGACTCCAAACATAGATCACTCTAAACCTCTTTCGCTTTACATAACCTAACTCCAATGTAAAGACTGCTTTACATGCTAGTGTTGAGATGTTACAACCAACAGCTGATCTTGTCCGACCCCCAGAGCAGCTTGAAGTGTCTCATTTAGTTGATAAGAAAACTTCTTCATTACCAATGTGTAATTTTTTTGTTGTTGTCTCTGCAGAGTCCATAGAGCGTTATGCTGCCAGACATCCAGCTAACTTAAACGCTGCAGTGAGGCTGCCAGCAGACCACACAGCTTCCTGAATCTCTCTGCATGCTGCCAGAATGACTCTATTTCATCTCATGCAGAAAGTCTCCTTTCTGTAAATAATCTGCAACAATTAAGAGACTTCTTGAAACATTACACTTCTCCTTACATCGTGAGTTTAACTGTAGGAGTATATTCAGATTTTTCTCTCACAGTCTTACATTGAATAAGATTTAACTCTACCAGTCAGTTACAGTCTCTCCTGTGTAAGACTTTTAATAAAGGAGTCCCCGGAGATTACAGATCTGTAGAAGTTGGAAACTGTGTGTAAATTGTTACTCTCATATTAACAAAATACCTATTAAGTTGTAATTTGTCACATGTGGGTTTTTCTTAAAGATTTATTTTTGGGCTTTTTGTGCCTTTAATGGAGAGATAGGACGGTGGATAGAGTCGGGAATCAGGGAGAGAAAGAGAGGGGAATGACATGCGGGAAAGGAGCCACAGGTGGGATTTTGATCCTGGGCCGCCCGCTTAGAGACCTCTATGACCTTTATGACCTCCATACATGGGGCGCGCGCACATAACAACATAATGTGTGTTTATCCCCCTGCCCCCATCCGACTGCAGTCAATTACATAAAAAATTGAAGTTACCAGGTTGTAAAATTGATAGATTTGTATCCAACTTTTTTTTCTGAATCAGACAAAGGCATGCTGTAGTCAGACCACACAAACTGAGACATAAACAACACTGAAGCCCACATTTATCAAAGTTTAGTATGCTGGATTAGAGATGGAAGGCTTAAAGGTGAAAGGACATTTCTCACATCTGGTCAGTTCTGCTGTCACCTTTACTTCACATCTGTCTTTTTTTTCAGTCTCCTTCATCTTCTTTCATCTCAAAATGGAAAAACAGTTTTCTTACACATGTCCATACAAAACTCCAGTTATCATAAAGCAAAATTTGATATAGTGTGTAATCAAAGTAAAGTGAGACGTGAGCTTTATGTTGCATGACTAAAAACAATCAAATCTGTCAAACTGTCTTGATGAAGCAGGTTTTTCCCGACTCCCTCTTCTGAAATCACAACTACATACGTTATTTAAACAAACTCAAGTTTTGATTATTTAATCTGGACATTTACAGTCTAACATTTAAATATTCATGTTTGTTTTAGAAGTATCGTTCTATCATTATTCTTTGGAGAGCTTTAAACAGCAGAGCCTTCTCTGTTAAACTAACTGTAGAAATGTGTGTTTTTGTTTCCCTTCCCTGACTGAACTGCAAATGTTAGTCGCTCTGTGCAGTTTTCAGTTATCCAAACACACGTTCAGATTTGTTTGGATCACAGCTATACATGGAAGTTGTTATTAGAGGGATTCCAAAGAGCTCAATCCTACTTTTTGACAATCTGTAATAAAGATTTTCCATTTTCATGGCCAAAAGAGGTTGTAATCAGTCCTCTGATAGTTTAAGACCTTCTTAATCATCAATGTAAACATTTGTATTGGCAGTGTTTTATTAGTGTGAGCACTTTAATCATCAGAGCATCGTACTCATAGTAATGTGTGTGTGTGTGTGTGTGTGTGTGTGTGTGTGTGTGTGTGCGCGCGTGTGTGTGTGTGTGTGTGTGTGTGCGTGCATGCGTGCGTGTGTGTGTCTGTTTGTGTGTACTGTCTGTTTCAGAGGAGTAGCAGCCCTGTGACCGATCCTTCTGAGAGCACAACATCTTCCCCTACAGCTCCCCTGCTGACTGACGCCAACACACACACAGCCTACCAGCTCCACCCAGTGAGTGTGCGATGAACACATCGCACACACACACGCACACTCACACACACACACACACACACTCACACACACTCGCACGCACGCACACACACACATACCTCTACATCTGGTTTCTCTCTCTGTCTTCAACTCTGCACTTAAGGCTTTCCATCTCACTGTCATACAAACAAAAACACACACCTCTTCCCCACAGACTTTCATTCATTAAACACCCGTTAATATTCACACTGTTGATGAATGAAAACCATGTAAAGCGGTAAATAAGTTACATCTACTCATTTGACTGTACATTTTAATTCAGCGTCCCTTTGCTCACCATGGCCTGGTATTCATTTCTGCTGAGTCTGAACTAAAGAGTTTCTAAAACATCTTACAGAGACTAATCAGTAAGTCAAACACATATGAAGGAAAATGAAGTAATGCTAAATAAGATAACATAGGTTTTTTTTATGTTTCTTCACTTGTCCATGTAGTTACTGTTATCCAAAGATAAGAACGTACAACAAGAAATACCGAAGCAGCTTAAATTATAAACATAAAGGTTTGGACAAAATGTAGATAAGTTGATTACATACAGTTCGGTCTGGTTTTAGCTGATTCAAATCAAAGCTAATTCTTTTCCACAGGAGGTTTCTGTCACTTTGTTGTATTTCAAAAAGGTACCCGGGATTTTAGGTTCCTCCTAATGCACAGGGGACTGAGAGGAAATGTTGCTGCCTATTATTCAATGTTATTTACTCTCCTATAAGCCTTTTAATGCGTTCAGAAGTTATTGCTAATGATTACCTAACATTCCATAATTTTGCTGCTGCATTAAATGTTAAACTGGCAAATAACACATACACCTTTCCTTTTCTACAAAACAGTGGTTTCAGTTTTATGTGAGAACAAACACTCTTGTTATTTGTTATAAATTGTTACAGATTGCAGTGTTAGGAATGCACACACCAACATTTCTGCCATCAACTTTTTTTTCTTCTTCTGTGTTTTATTGTCCAGGAAGCCATGATGTATTTCCCTCCAGCAGAAGAGACGGCTGCAACACAAAGTAATACTTCATCATCACTGCTCCACACACAGTCCCACACGTTTCCCTCCGCCCCGCTTACCAGCCTGCTGCCTCACAAAGTCCAGGGTCTCGCAGCCTGAGTCCCCCCACCATCAGCCACCAAAACAACATGCACAAGAAACATCAGAACGGGATAAACAGATGCTTCCCTAATGTCATCATCCGTAATGTTGTTGTAAGGAAAGGGTAGAGAACACCGTGGACCACTAAAAGAAAAATACATTGGTCTGAATATTTTGCAGAAATCTACATTATTTTTAATCCAAAAGCAGAAGTTTGAAGCTTCACAGAAAGTGCTTCTTGCTACTTTTTATTGTATGAAAAGATTATAACAAACAACATGAAGGTCTTGTGTTGTAAAATATTTGTAAGTTAAATGTTCTGTAGTATAAAAGTATGGACTGTATATAAGAGGACTTGTAGGCTGTAACATTTGAGAAACATTACACAAGAGTTAACACCACATGTGAACATAATGAAATGCACCATAAAATGTGTCAATAGCGTGACGTCCAAGCAGCAAAACTGTTGTTGTGGTTCTTCTGAAATGTTCTATATATATAGAACAATATGCCCAACGAGTCCCCTTAAACATGTGATTAACATCCATATATGTAGTGTATATTTGTAGTAACTGATGTCTTGTGAGATTTATTTGACACGTATGACTGTCATTCACTGTTATCATCCAGAAACAGAGTAAGGAAAGTGACAGGAGGATTAACGTGATGAATTAGTAACGGAAAGATAAGACACAAGTCTTTTTTTTATTACAATCATTAAACAGGTTTGTTTAATAAATGACAAATCAAACCACATTTGTACACATGATTATTTTATTTTTTTAAATTTATTTTTTACTTTATTTAGATAGGACAGAATTCTTGAAGTCATCATATATGGGAGGTAAAATTAGTTAAGAATGTTTCTCATTTTGCAAAAGGATTGGTTGAATGTATTGTCAGTAAATTTAGGCCACTAACAAGAAAGTTAACTCAATATAACGACATCTATTAATGTAGGCCTTGATTCCTGTAATGTAATCTCTCTGGCTTCAACTATAAAATATTAACAACATCAAATGGTTTAAAGTTTGTATTTCTTGATTTTATTTCAGCATTCATGCAGAGTTTGGTTAATGTAGATGTGCCATCTTTCAGAATATATGAGATTATATGAGATACTCTAGTTTTAGATGGAAAAATATCCATTTAAGTTGTTTTCTGCAGCATAGTTCACTTCAAGTTTATGTGGAAGTATATGAGGCAGAAAGCAGCTCATGGCAAAGCTTGCAGAGTGTGAGGAGGGTCTGGCAACGTAAATGTTGGCGAAAACAAGAAGGACTGACAAAACGCCAGCTCTGTGGGTATTACAGGGAATATTTCCTCTGTTAAACAACTCAGACCAAAGTCCTCCAGTTAAAGATTATGATGCTGCATTTAGATTCATCCATAAACATGTTGACTTCAAAATACAAGTTGTAATATTTTGAAGCAGTCAGAAAAAAGGAATCACTTAGTTAAAAACATACACGTAAAAATATCTGTATTTTAAAAGCTGCTTTGATGAAGCGCAGGCTGCTTATAGCGGTTAGGTCACGCCCCATGTATGGAGACTTTAGTCCTCCAAGTGGGCGGTGCGGGTTCAAGTCCAACCAGTGGTTCTTTTCCTGAATGTCTTAACCCACTCTCTCCCCCTAATTTCCTACTCTACCCAGTGTCCCATCAAGGCTCAAAGGCTCAAAACAAATCTTCAAATAAAAAAGCTACTTTAATGCCTTTATAGGAATACAAATTTTAGAACTGCAGTGTTATAAAGATCTGAAGATATAGCAAAATGTTAGCTTTTCTAGCAGCTCTGTTAGGCTGTATCATAGGAATTATTTCAGTCAATGATCTGTTAACATTGTGTTACTTTGATCTAGAAGTTAAAAGGACAGCATGCTAAGATAATGTTGTCATGCTAATGTTTAGCAGGTAATATGTTCAACTTTAGTTTTGATTTTTGTTCCTGTCATTTGGCACTAAATGCAAGGCAGCTGAGTTTGATACAAACATTAATTGTTCTGAGATTAAGTCATAACCCAAGTCACCAAAAAAAAAAAACGTTTACATGATTGTGTTGCTAGTCTGCTATGGAGCTACCAAAGTTATTAGGCTACTTTTCATCCTGCGGGGAGTTCACTGTCAGTATTAAATGCATCCTATAGTTGTTTAGACAGACAAACTTGATCGTCAGATTGCAGGTGGCCCTAATGGAAAAGTCAGGGAACCATAAAGTATTTAGGAGCCTGACTCTTTGGACCATGAAAAACCCAGGACAAAATGTCAGCCACCAATGATATCCTGTCGATAAAGAAATCTATACGGTAACTAGCTTTAGCATGAAGATCCCACCATGGAAACAAAGAGCACAACAAAGCAAGAAAACAAAGAGGCCACAAGACTAAACATCTTTTACATGTCCTGGGGTTAAAACTGACCACAGAAAAGGAGCTACATAGTTTAAACTCAAGCAGCTGGCTATATTCAATCAACTGCCAGGAAAACATAAAGCTATGGTCAAATGACAACAGAAAAATCCAGTGGTCTCAGATGAAGAACAGCAACATTTCTCTCTGGAGGGAGGCTATTGACTGCAGACAGTCACAGCAGTCCTATAATATAAATTAAAGAGGGTTAGACGGCCTCACAGTTCTATAGATTAAAGTCAAAATATGCCTGTGGTTTGACTGAAATGTGATGACTGTGTTTCCAGACCTATAAAATGTTCCAGAAATGGCCAGGACCCTGAGGTTCAGATACAAGTCATGTCTGAAGAAGGTGTGTGGAATTTATATGACTGGATAGAAAAGTAAACAAATTACGTTAGCTATAGGCTTGACTACATCTTCCTGATCAAGGACACCTTTATGTAATCTATTGGAGGGTTCCTTTTCTTAAACTGGGGAAACTGAATCAGTTTGCTGGCTGACATTTTACTTCAGTTTAATACATATACATATTCATTCCAGGGTCCAAATCAGCACATCCACATGTGATACGAATGGGGTACCCAATTTGGTACGAAAATGTTGGTTTCGTAAAGGCTCCACATGGCATCAAAAGTAGGGCTTATAAACTTGATGTCCAGGAGGAATAAAAAGCCTATTTTACACAGCCTGTTCAAAACTGTAACACTACCTATACAGAGACTGAAAGGTGGGAGAAAGTCATTCCACCACTGAGCCACCAGCAGAGGTCAAAGAACATGAGTTGAAGAGCCAAACAATAGAGCAACGCTCTCCTTAAATGTCTCCCTTTTTATTTCACTTATCCTGGGAATACCAGTTGCTGTATTTTGTGTCACTTCTAATGTTTCAGTATGAAACAGTACATTTTGCTCCTGTTATTTGAGTTTCCATCTGTATTAAAAAGGAAATAATCTTCAGAAAAGGTAAAGGGGTAATAATGGATTTGAAGTGTCTAAAAATGTAAATTCTGGTTGGTGTTATTTGTTTTGGATTTTGAAAATTTCAAAAAATCAGGGAATTGAAAAAGACCAAGTACTTTGAGTTTTCTGTTGTATCTTTCATCACTAGAAGTACACTGATTTAAACAAGTCTGCGTGTTTATAGCCCTGTTTACACCAAGCAGTCCAGTGTGGCTCAGTACAGTTTGGCAACTAAGTGTAGCCCGAAGAAGAAGAATGCGACACAGTAAACAAAGGGCAGCACTGGAGGACGTCCAGCAGAGATCTGCACCTCTGAGGTCGCCCATAGGGCAGTGCTACAGTAAGCACTGACATTATTAGCAGAAGAAACAACAGCCTTGAAATTACTCTTGAGAAATCCATGAGATATTTGAACATACCACGTTTTTTCTTATAATTGTAAGCTTGCCCTCAACCTCATATACTACTCTTGGGATCTTAGGATACCGTAAGCATTCTAGGAGCACAATGTTCTAGAGATGTAATGGAGCTATGATCTTTATAACATATGATAGTAGTGTATGTATGATCTGTGTGAGAAGAAGGATTTTATATTATATTCTAGGTTTTATAGGAAGCCAGTTCAGATAAACTTATAGCAGAGATATGATCTCTTTTACAAGTTCTTCTCAATACTCAAGCTGCTGCCTTTTACAATCGCTGTCTCTGTGTTACGGTAGACTCTAAATCATGACGGATGGATTTTTAACAGATATCAGATTTACCAGGGAACATTTCTGGAAAAACGAGAAGCTGTTGGGCTTTAGAACAAATTTTTGGACATGTTAGGAGCTCAAACATGATCCTACTGTATGGGGCCAGAGGACATACATTTAAAAAAAAAAAATCTCTGATAGAAGAACATTCCTCAGTACACAGTATGGACTTTAAACACGCCATGTGACCAAAAAGCAGCACACATTCAACTTTTAAAAATAATTTTTGAGTGTTTGTTTTCCTTCATAGATCAAGCTTTGTAGTTCTGAAAAATAAAGACATCTCATGCTGTGGTATTTCTGACCCTCGAAACACAAATACTTTTCCATTACATAATCTTTAAAAGGTGTTAACCTCCTAAAAGAAGAAAAGACAGCTTCCTTGGACTAGGTTTTGACATATATTGATGACATATAACAGATGAAAAAAATTGCATGGCACTAAGCTAATGCCAGAGGAGGCTACAGGAGGTTAGCCTACTTGCGCAAAGCTTAGAAATAGTTGGCACAATCACCTGTCAATTGTAGAAATTATGTTTATTTCACTTTTTTTGTACAGTTCAAAAAGTAGAAAATTCTATTTCAATTTGTGAGCCTTAAATTAGCTTGTAGACGGATTTGGCTACTTTTCGACAGAGCTAGCTGTTTCCCTGTTTCCAGTGTTTGAGCTAAAGCTTAGCTCACTGGCTGCTACCAAACTAGAGAGTGCTCTCATCTAGCCTACCTCATGGCAGGAAAGTCAAGAGTTTATTTCCCCGAAATATATTTTTTAAATAGTACAAAGAAACCCCATGTAGGGGAAAGAGGCCCAGTGTGCTAACATTATATATTTTTTAAATAGTACAAAGAAACCCCATGTAGGGGAAAGAGGCCCAGTGTGCTAACATTATATATTTTTTAAATAGTACAAAGAAACCCCATGTAGGGGAAAGAGGCCCTGTGTGCTAACATCATAGTGACCCTCAGTGATCACAGTAAGAGTGTTTTCCTTCTCACAGAAGGTAATGGCTGAGAGGTCACGGTCGGGAGCCAGACAATACCCTGCGGCTCCTAGAGATCTTGTTCTCTGCACGCTAAAAGACAGGCCCTGGAAGAGTTTCTCGAGGGCCAGGCGGGTTTATTTGTTTCAATTCAATTCAATTCAATTCAATTCAATGCAAAAAACTTTATTTGTCCCCGGGGGGCAATTGAAAGGCGCACAGAGCAGTAAATTAACAACAGTGCAAGTAAACGAAACATTTTAACCTAAATAGAAAGTGTCAATTTAAATACAACTTAAAACTTAAACTTAACTTAAAAATACAGAATATAAAAGAGTGGATATAAGTGGACAGTGATCGGACTAACAGATGTAAACAGATGTAAACAGAACTATGTGCAGTAAACGAGAAATAAATATATATATATATATATATACAGAACTATGTGCAGTAAACGAGAAATAAATATATATATATATATACAGAACTATGTGCAGTAAACCAGAAATAAATATATATATATATATACAGAACTATGCGCAGTAGTGACCAGATGTAAACAGAACTATGTGCAGTAAACGAGAAATATATATATATATATATACAGAACTATGTGCAGTAGTGACCAGATGTAAACAGAACTATGTGCAGTAAACGAGAAATATATATATATATATATACAGAACTATGTGCAGTAGTGACCAGATGTAAACAGAACTATGTGCAGTAAACGAGAAATATATATATATATATATACAGAACTATGTGCAGTAGTGACCAGATGTAAACAGAACTATGTGCAGTAAACGAGAAATATATATATATATATATACAGAACTATGTGCAGTAGTGACCAGATGTAAACAGAACTATGTGCAGTAAACGAGAAATATATATATATATATATA